GCAACCGGATAACATGACCTTTATTACTCTCTATTAAAGTAACCTTTTGCACCTTCCTTGCACCGCCTTTGACTCCCTATCTCTCGGCACTACAACATACAACCACATTTAATCCGATTTCGCTCATCAAATTTTATTGATTTTTTTAAATCAATAAAATCATTTTCTAAATCCATAAAAGCATTTCAATTAATATTAGGATTCATGTCGTTACTTTGTCGAGAATGTGGCCATGTAATAAGCGGGATAATGTGCACATTGCATAATGTGCCTTCATGCCGATCTAGATCCCTCCGCTTCGCGTCGGGCTCCTGATCAGCCTGTCGGTGTTCTTTTCCCCATAATGACCGCGTCGCTGCACATTATCCCTTACATACTGTATGATTATATAGAGTCATTATTCATTTGTTTTAAAGCAGGAGGCGCAAACGCTTGCCTCTGGGAGGGAGAAAAAGAGCAACAGCGGAGAATAAACAGAAGGGCAACCATGGCAACCATGCAAGGGAAGTCTTCTTCGCTGCTTTTGTGCCAGACTACAGCGTCACTTACAGGCCTGGTATATGTACTACAGCGTCTCCAGCGCTTTCGAGCAGCAATGTCCGGCCGTGGCCCAACCTCTCATTCCCCTGATAGGTGGAGAATTGACCACTAAGCGGAGCACCCCTTCTGTGACGTAGAAAATAATTCAAATCTGGATCAGTCTGTATCAGATCCGTTACAGCCCCTTTTTTAGAGATTTGGGTATGGAGAAAAAGAGAGAGGGTTGTGTTTTCTGACACTTGGTGACTTCCCTGACACACCGGGGACACATGTTCATGTATAAAAGACGTACAAGAGTGCATTTTGCATGATAGGTCCCCTTTAATATGTAGAAGAAATGCCTCACTCTGTCAGAGCTGAGTGGGCAGATTACTTTGCACACACACCCCCAGCCTCTTTGCATTTGTAGAGTGTGTAAGAACAGATTTAAGCTTCAGCCTGTCTTTGAGCTCAGAGAGGCTCGAAAGAGTCTGACAATCAGACAGGTTAGAAAAAAAACGAGAACTCGATTTTTTTATAGCACTTTAATAGGGGTCAAACGGAAAGTGAGCCCCCACTGAAATGTTACCAAAAATCCCTCATTGTAAAGGAAAAGTACAGTAGATTTAAGCAGGAAGTGGGTCTGTGAACTAAATAAATTATTTCAAGTAATGTCACCATGTACCCAGATCTTAAAAATAACCTTGGAGTGTACAACATCTTTGACAGGAATAACAATATTTGAACAAACTCAGAATAGATGCTTTGTCAGTTGTCGCTGATTCATTTTAAACCTTACAATAGTTATTTTTCTATCATGTATGAGTCAGGTTTACTTGATTCAGAACTAAGTTTTCAATGTTGTTGCAAAAACCGAGGTTCTGACAGAGTCTGGAGCCAAATTACTACATTTAAATGTCAACAAAGTAGGTGGAAATTAGGCCGATAATTAGATACAAGCAATTAGCAAGCATTACATACAATGGTGGGAAAAACGGACTTTTAGTCAAATGTTGGGTGTTTTTATTGTTCAGCTCGTTAGATAAGATTTTTGAGTGTCCTGTGGCGGTCTTTAGAAGAACCCAAGCCTTCTGTAACACTGTGCCTCTGCTGGAGTTCATCTGAAGTTGAAAAAGCCAGCGAGGCAGATTCCCACTCCTCTTCTAACTCGGAATCAGTGTGTTGATTAAACTGGAGCCCCGGAGACCAGTGTAAATGTACTGATTGTGCACCAGTTCAGTCCGTATCAGCATATTTTTCCTTCAGAGACTTTCCTCCAATGTCATCTCTTCTAATGGTTTGCTACGTAAGCTAAAACCGACAAAGCCTGTGCTGCCACCAGATCACCAAGTACTGCACTGAAATCATTTAAATGTATTATGTCAACAGATTACACAAAGCTGCGTAAGGTTAGTTGAAAGCAATATCAACTTAATATTATTGCTTGCAAATACAATTATGTGTAATCTGATGACATAATACATTTAATTGAAGTCAACGTTTCAATGTTTTCAGTGTGTACAATTCAAGTAAATCAAGTATTAAATGAGGATGAGGGGTCAGGGAGGAAGGACATATTGCTATGAAAAAAGTATTTGCGTCCTTCATGGTTTTTCTTCTATTACAGATCTTCAAAAATGAGTATACAACAGAGACAACCTAAATTAAAAATGTAATGTATTGAAGGGAAAAGTGGCCAACACAAAAGTCCTGTGCTAAAGAGCAATTGCCTGTTTAGTTCAACCAATGGACCACATTACCTTGCTAACTAGCTTTAATTAGACACAATAAAGCTTGATTACTGCCAGCCCTGTTGGATCCAAACATCACTTTAAGAGAACTTTTTTAGCAATGTGAAGATGGCCGAAAGAGCTCAAGGAACAGCACAGTGTGCAGTTAACTCTCCCTATTTAGAGACCTGTCCTAAACACTTCCTGTTTTTTGCCGTAGTTGACCTGCTTTGGGATTGATATTTGTTAAGGAATAACGTCTAAAACCTTGATTAAATTCATGAAACACACTCGGAATGAAAGTGATTGCAATATATTGGTCTGGAAAAGGATACAAAGTCATTAGTGAGGCTGTTGGAATCTAGCCAACCACTGAGAGCCATCCTCTCCAAAAACTTGGACCAGGGTTGAATCGTGCTGGAAATGCCCGCCTTACTGAAGCCTCTGGTTGCAGGTGTTTCTGCTAAAGGGTATCAAGTTCAGGGACTCGTTTTTCATATGGGTGATTGCAAGAAAGTGTTGTTCCTGTTGGCACGACAATGGGACCTAAAGTACCGGAAAGTTTCAAATACTTTGCCAGGTGTTTTTATTTCTGTCTATGGTCTGTCTGACTCTGTCAGGTTTTTCAATGCATTAGCACTGCAACTGTCAGGTCACAAATCTTTACATTTAGTTGAGATCAAAAGGCAGAACACGTTAGGAGAAGGATGAGGGGCACCAGAGGCCCCCCCCGCTTTACACCCCTGGCCCCATATGGCATAACAGCTGGTGTGGTCAAATTACAAGATGGTTTCTTGGTTAAAAAACGTCTGTTGGGTTCACTCAGGTTGTCTTTTATCATATATTCTGTTTAGTTTGAAAATCTGAAATATTAAGTGTGGCACTTGTGCAAAGAAAGGGCATATTAGAGAAGGGGCACGGTTAAGGTGAGGTGTTTCCCTGAGGGGGGTTTCCCTGCCACGGTGGAGTGCTTTACTGTGTCTCAATTGCATACTTCTGTACTTACATTTGCTGTATTGAGTGCACAAGTGCATGCCTATGCGAAGTATGGCAAAGTGCACTTTGAGTACTCGGATGGTGCACTCATGACAGTCAAAAAGTGGAGTGTGGAACGCTGGACACTCCTCACACCCAAAGACCGCCATCTTGCCAACGTAACTGAAGTCTTAAGCTGTGTTTGCGGTTACTCTGGTGAACACAGCACTATACAAATAACATTGACACATGTGGGTGTTTTTTACTATTCCAGTGACATAACATTATACTGATGAAAATAATGGCTGTTAATTGTATTGGATACATTGAGCATTCTGTATTGATTTGCTGGAGGGAATTAGTTTTGCTAGCATGCTTCTGGTGAAGGCACAGCAGCCGTGTGCGATTCGAGAGCACACTACACGGTAGAAATTCACACACTGAATAAGTGTTCACAGTGTCTGATTTGGGTAGTAGTCTTCTCTTCCCTGCCTCTGGTGTTACCTGTCACCTTTTGATGGTGACTTCTGACACAGGAAACCTGGTACAGGGTACATGTTCTACCAAAGGTGTTGTAGTTGGTTAACTAGTGCTGTGTGTCTGCTCTGATTGCTGATGCTGAGGCAACAGAGTCCATACACAATTCAAAGAGAACAGGGGGAATGAGTTCATGTTCTACTGTAGGAACAAGATGTCTTCTATTTCACACATTTGATTATCACTGGCTCCCAAACTGTGATGAACTGAGTAACCACCTCACACACTAAGCAGTGAGGCTCAAACATCTCGATGAATTAACATTAAGAAAACTATTTTTTTACTCACAATAAAATGTCAATCTAGAGGTTCAGCCTGTGAAAACCATTGTAATATCTTATCTGATGCTGTCAGAATGAATCTTAGCTTAGACTAAACATTTAAACATACGTTACAAACTATGATCATAGAATGAGAAAAATCAGAGCCAATTACTGGGAAGAGGGAGGGAGCGATATGAAGGTGGATAATGCAAGGTGCAGTATCCAGGAGGGACTAAAGCATATCTCTGCTCTGCTATTTTAAATTGTATTTTATTCTCAAAATAAAAGAAATAGGAGCTGCAGTGGATCAGAGATTTCAATGTAACAGATCACTAAATGCAAACTGTAAATCGATCATCTGTGAGATGGATTATGAACGGCAGGAACATTGGTGATAGACCAAAACAAAAATGTTCACAAATAATTGTATCAACATCTAAAATTGGTAATGTAATTTCATTCATTTGTTGTCTTGACATTTATAAACCTTCCAAATCTGACTTTGTAGAATGTCCTCAGAGAGGATGCAGAGTGATTTGTTGAATAAAGAAAATCTATAAGAAAAGATTAGCAGCTTCTATTTAACATGAGCACATTTTAACATGTCCTTTCACCTCTGTGACCAACTGCCAGAGGTCTTCTGTCCATACAGCCCACCTGATACACTGACAGACCCTGTGAATCACAGCTCACACACCAACCTGTCACCGGAACATCCACCGGATTTACGCACAGAGGATATGAACATGGTTGGTTCTTTTGAACAGACAAAGCAGAGGTTGAATGTGTTCCATCAGGCCGCCACTGCACCGGCTTCACAGGTAACACATCTGCACCAGACACCCCTCACACACACGCACGCATGCACGCGCGCACACACACACACACACACACACACACACACACACACACACACACACACACACACACACACACACACACACACACACACACACACACATACACACATACTCACCTCAATCCGAGCAGAGCCAGCAGCAGCCAGGGCTTCATGGCTTTGTCCCGCACGGCTCTCACCAAAAGCCTCTTCATGTCTCCTCCAGCCGGGGGGACTGGGTTCTGGAGTCTGCGAGGGAGGCGGGAAGCTTTCTGTCCGCAGCTCGCAACCGTACTCAGGGTTAATTGTAGCAGCGGGAGCGTGTGAGAAACGTGTCCATGGTGTGTGAGGAGGGGGAGGATGTGAGAGGGAGGGGGGAGGCTCTGCAGTGCCGCACTCGCATGCACGCTGCGGCGCGGAATCATATTGACTTCCTGTACACAGACTGAGTGATGGGATGAGAGATGTGTCTTATTGTTTGATACGCGCCCAGATGTGTGCGAGCAGCTTCACATTCACGTCAGCTGTGCACGCGCTGCTGGTAGAGGCGCCTGCAGGTGACCATGCAGCATCCTTTACATTCTGCCCCCTGCCCAAGGTCAAAGCACCCTGACTAAGTTGAGGGGGGGGGGGGGGGGGACATGTCACAGTTCACAGTTACTAAGCACGTTTTTATATAGGTCTATATTTTCTGTAAAAATAAAATCATATATTTTTTGTATTGGGTAATAAAGTGATTACAGGACAGGAAAGGACAGTTGCTGGGTGACAGAGAAACAAGACCAATAACCAACTCCCAATTTGGACGAGAAACAGAGAAATATAATTATAATATATAAATATATACACTTTAAAGTTAAACTCTTGAGAACAACTTGTACAATTTATTTCTGTGAATGGTTACAAAAAAATATATATATATTATATTTATATTAATATAGCGCTTTTCCTGGTGCTCCAAGACGCATCAAAACAATTGAGAGAAAGATAAAAATAATAATAATGCAAAAGAAAAACTATTTTTATTTTTAATCATCAATATTTTTGGATTGTGTCCATTCATATTCAACTCAACGCCTGAGCAGCACACATTTTGAATAATTTGATATTGTTCTTAAATATGTATTACTTTTGTGGCACTAAATAAGTTTATAAATATGTGTTTTTGAAAATACTGTACTCAGCTCAGCAACAACATTCATATTGGAACATTCTGTCTGAATGATGATGGTTTCTCTTAATTTCTCTCTTGCTTTCAGCAATATCTGCACATGGCAGCTTGAAAATGGCGAAGGTTAGATTTGAATTTGTATTACAATAACATGAGTCACATTTAGTAAGGAGTCATTTCAATCAATTCCCGTACCGTTAGCTTTTGGATCACACAGTATGAAGTGTTTGATATCACCTTAAAGGCCTGTTGCTATGAGTCACTGTGTTGGCAGTGAGCTCCATATCTTCATTTCATTTCACTTGAAGCAGATTGGATGAGCTGAAAATATCAATCAGGAGGCCCCTGCAGCAAAACTCTCATTAGTGTTCATCCTCATAAGGAATTCACAATGGGCGCAACGCGAATAAACTAAACATTTTTGCCGAATACATACAAATATCTGCCATAAGACATTTATCAGATACAGTATAGTACAGTACATGCACCATATGCGATGTGATATGAAAGAGGATAGCATATATTTATTCAGAATAGTATCTAATGTACATGTCAAGAGTCATATGAAAAAAGCTACTATGACATGTAGTCCTGAATGAATATGATAATTAGGGATGCACGATATTGGTTTTTTGAAACCGATACCAAGACCGATAACAAAAAAAAATGTACGCCACTAATTATTTTAACGTGATTAACGCATGTGTATTTGTTTTCCTTGGCCGCCCAGTAGTTTCAGAGCGCATCGAGTTTAAAATACCATCGACAAGCTCAGCGACGTGCAGTCAGGGGAGGCAGAGCCTCACCTGTCATACTCCAATGTAACGGAAAAACAACTAAAGAACAACTAAATAGTAATAATAATAAAATGTCTCCACTGATCTGTGTTGTAAGTGTGATTTATGTTTGATTCCAATCGCTTTTTATAGTCAAAATCAGCAAATTTGCCGAGCTCCGCTACAACTAGGGCCTACATGGGAGCGATGAGGAGTGAGGCAGGGACGAGCTCTGCCTCACGTAAGCCCACAGTAACTTGCTGGAGCGCGGGCACTAATTTAGCGTGGGCACTTATTTTGTGAGCGCGCTGAAGTGCTCTTACTGTGTGGTAAGGTGAGGCACAGATGAGCTCTGCCTCACCTCAGAATGCGTCACCTCACAGAAACTGGCTGGAAAGCGGGCCCTAAGCGCATGCCTGCACCATCTCACTGTAGGTCACCAATGTAATGTTTGTAGATCCCTTTATTACATTTATCCTCGCCATCCATAGTCTCTAAATAACTTATTTCACGTATATATGATATTTAGGCTCGCCGTACAACGGCAATGAAAAAAGCACCAGGGGAGGCAGCCATAACCTCTGCCGCACTGAAGGGGGCGCACGTGAGCCCACAGGTTCTTGTTGCTACTGTTATTCTATGCAGAGACGGTAGACGCAAACAACAAACTAGACTTTTGAAACTCGAGGAAGATAAGGAGGACTTTTACAAAAAAGTAATAGAGATTGTTGTCCAGAAGGATAGCATGGACTTCATCTTCAAGTCAAGGTAAGACCACAATTGTAATGAAAATTGATTCTTACTAAGAAAGAACAATCCAATATTTAGATTGTGGGTATCCTTTTGTTGAACGGTCTGTTTAAAATGAATCGAAACATCAGACCAAAAAAGCTTTTGAAAATAACAGAATATTTCGATTAAGGTCAGAATATAATATTTGTAAATCTGACTCTGAAAGAGTCAGTGCCTCACCAGCCATGAACCTCACCGCACGTCACTGTACAAGCTGATGCTGACAGCCCCGCTCCTGCCGCCCGTTGTGGCAGACCACACTTCCACGCTCACCGGCAGGCACCGACCATAGACTGTATATATAAAGGCACCGACTGGCCAGCTGGAGGACCGGGAGGGTGTGTGTATGTGTGGCCCGAGCGAGCGAGAGACCTTACGTGCATTGTTGTTGTTAGCATCTGGTGCTAGCTAGCTGCGCTAACGGATAAGGAGCTGTTTAAATGAAAACAGAGGAGCGACATTTCGCCACAACTGCGCCGAGCACTTGACTTTATGCAGGCAGCCAGACAGTGGGACATTGTACGAAAAGTCAGCACACTCAGCACGGATAGTGCGCAACATGATTGCAGCGTCCAGGCAGCTCCGGTTCGAGCATATGCCTTGAGTTGCACATAGCTCCAACGCCCATACCACCGACGACATGTTTGTTTACTGTCCTGGCTTCACGGCCGCACACCATTTACGTCACAGCCAGGCATGAGTTAGGGAGCGCTGGATTTGTGAAGAACTCCCCTCTTCCTAAACCACTAATACCACAGTACTGGCAAAACGGGAGGAGCCGAGTGAAGAACAAGCGCCCCTCATCCCAATCCACCCACACCGCAGTATTTTTTTCTTTTTTTTTACCCAAAAAAATATATTGTATATTATCGGGGCTATTAATACTGGTATCGGGTTTATCGGGATGACGTCATCATTCCTAATATCGGACCGATAATTATCGGGCCGATAATTATCGTGCATCCCTAATGATAATTATACATATTACAGTAATATTACTGTATTAATAATATATTAGTATTTGGAGTAGCGTTCATGGGATTCTCGTTGCTGAAAATTGGCTTTACCACTCATCATCACAATCAGTATTGCCATCCTCACTATAATTATCATCATCATTATTATCAGTAATTGTAGGCATGAAAAACTGAATTTAGAAGAGATAGAGTGGACGAGTAGGTGACAAGCAAACAGCAGACTGTGAATGGCAGAGACACCTGTCAATCAAAACACAACTCTATGACTTTGTTCAAGCTTAATATCACTTCTCTTTAATCACCCCCAGGAAACACATTCAAATAAATCAAATATCCTTCATGATACCTAAACTTCCTGTGGGGGAAATAGTATTACTGTTGCTAAGTAACTGTATCAACGTATTGTTCCTGCCTAAATAGCATTAACCAATTTCAGCTCCCACTTGCTTTTATAATTTCATCAAAGCCTCCAGTCTGTAACATCAGCACTTCCCATGATACACTGCAGGGTTACGCGTTGTGTCTCTGATGAGTTTTCACAACAATGGAGCTCTATGGTACTGAGGAAGGGGATGTGTCAGGCTGTGACACACACAGTAGTTCTAAGGGTCTTCATTTGTTAACAAGAAGAAACATTGTCTTTACTTTGATCATGTTTATGTTATGGATTTGATCATAGATGTTCATTCGAGGCATCAAGCTGTTACATTCACTGTCCTGCAGTCTAAAACTAAAAGGATAATATACTCTCATGCTGTAAAACATTTCATATTATTCTCTGTCTTCTCAGATCAGATTCATTGATATACATTAATAAGGGAAGACAATTCTCACGTAATAACACTATTTTGAACATGCCAGAGCTGCTGTTCCTTTTATATTTAAGATCTGAGTGGTACAATACCACTGAGAAGCTGGTTGTGTCAAATATACAGTGTGTCAATAGTTCAAGAACAAAAGCCAGGTAATTTAATATGGAAAAACGAATTGAACCCAACTTTATTAATTATAATTAGCCACTGCCCAAGTGATACAATTCTGATTTGTGTGACCTCATCTTCATATCCTCCAACTCCTCAGACTGGAAATATTAAGACAAAGTGAATTAATAGTTCAGTTGAGATACTTTGAACCCTCATGGAACATGGGCAGCCTGAGCTTGGCTCAAATACAATCTGCAGTCCGTTGCTGTATCTCAAATCATGTACTATTTTACAAATATGGCCAAACACAGTGCACTTTAAGTACCTGGATGTCGCATTTATAACAGCCAAAAAGTACAGTGTGGAATGCTGCACCAGCTAGCTTGTAGTTGGTCAGGTAAACATTTATACATGTGTTATTTTTTCACTTTTTGTTAAACGTATCAGTTCTGGTGTCTGTAATTGTATTACCATTCAGTCCCGTTTAATCACATAATACGCATTAAAACAACATATAAAAGGTAAAAAGAAAAGGATGGTTCAGTTGAAATTAACGAAAAGGGCATCAAGTTTTTACATTTAGGTTTGTGGCTGTGGCTCAGTGCATAGTGTGCTGGACTTCAAATCAGGGGGTAGCAAGTTGGAGTCCCACTGCAGTCAGCATGTCGTTGTGTTCCTGAGACACTTCACCCCAAATTGCTCCTGTGGG